GTCTGCAGTTTGAAGGTTAAGAAGACAACAGAGTGAATGTACGGGTGCAGGATTCGCACATCTGGAGATGAGTACATTACTGACCCAGCAGAAATTTGTGATTTCTAACATTGCCTTCTTGACTCATTATTGATCAGACTTCCAGAGCGAAGCTGTTTTTACACAGTATTGAATCCATCCCACTCAGAAAGCCCATCTACTGCAGAAACAATCCTCTGATCGTCACCATCAAACCAGAGCAGCGTCATCAGCCGTCTGAGAGCGAGCGGACAGGAGATGATACAGGACTGGGCAGGCTGCGATAGCTGGCTTTCAGCGAGACGGGGAAATGTGTGCAGTCAAACATTAAGTGGATTGGGACTCGGTGGAAGAGCTCTTTGCACCGCAGCCGTGAGACACAAGCCTGACCCGGAGCTTCCCTCAGGACACTCATCTGACCACTATTTACTCCATTAATCAGATCAAATACAACTGTTATTAATTATTACAATCAATCATTCTTTAAATCCATGTTACTTGCATCCTGCCCAGTCTGCAGTTTGAAGGTTAAGAAGACAACAGAGTGAATGTACGGGTGCAGGATTCGCACATCTGGAGATGAGTACATTACATTTTGTCTGTTTGGCGCGTAAACGCTTGTTCAGTGAATCTGTGCGGTTGCTAGCTTTCAGGACTAGCCTGTATGCAAAATTAAAATAATCATGTGACTTTCTACCATTTACGGTACAGTTATGTGCTGAGGAAAACACATCTCAAATGCTTTAAACAGCACACGTTTCTGTCAGGACAAGTCACATTAAACTATATGCAGCTACACTTTATTTTAAGGTGTCCTTGTTACGGTGTAATTATACATTTAAGAAGCGAGCAATATTAATTAACTACTTGTACTTACTATAGGGTTAGGCTTAGGATTAGGGTTTGGCTTTGGGTTACTTGCATGTAATTATGTATGATTTATTGTTATTATAATAGTACGTTTATTTATTCACGTCACGATAGAAGCCGCAAATAACGTAAACGAGGACATTTACTAGGCCGCTGTGCCAATAATAATGTTATTTATTATACACACTGCTTGTTTGTCATGAAGTGTCTGACGCTAACTTGCTTTGCTGTGAGCGCTGTCATGGTGTATTGTCTTACATTAAACACATTACATTGGTTCTGTGTGGTAGGAGGGAGAGTCTGTATGTTTTGCCCACTGAAATGCACATATTGTGTGATGGTGCATTTGTAATGAGCATTTGCATTTGACTGAAACGAAGCGGTTTTATTTTGGTAACATCAGTCTCTCTGAAAGACGGTCGCACACCGGACGAGTCGCGTTCAGTTCAGTTCAAGACGGCAGTCCAAAGCATTTAATCTATTCCCCAAACACTCAAAACTTTACAAGCAAGTGGTGTCAAAGAGTTTATAATCCGGTGATTGAAAAAACAGAGCTAATGGACTGAGAAAGTGTGATCTATTGTCATCCAGTCAAGGATGAAGTCATGATGTACATTAACAATAATATGATGTAATTTAATGGATTAAGACTGGATTAACCTCTTGTTTCAGAGGTGGAATTGTCTTTTAGAAGAGGACCCTGGCTGGGAGTTAGTTTTATCCCCGGCGAGGGCTCCTGGGGCCAAGGCTCAAGAGTCACGGTTCGCTACACCGTAGAATAAAGTGTTTGAAGCGCTTAATTTAAGCTTAACTATGCTACTGTGTCCTCCGCTAAATGTCATGTGTGTTTTGTTGATATAAATGCGCTATTCACTACTATAAAGTGGCATGATTGACGGATGTCTTCCGTGCACAAATTGGTTGTCGATGATTTTCATTATTGTTTATAATTGACTTTATTCATTAGCTGCTGCAGCCCTAAACCGCAGAGATTTTCTCCGAGGGCAATGCGGCGCTCGGCCTGAACTACACGCTGATCTCGGAGAAACGGTGTGTTGATGCTAGCGCGAGTGCTAATGGCTGAACCGAGACCAGGTGAGGTGAAAGCACGCGAGTCAGGGGGCAGAGCCGAGCTCTCCACGGTCTCTTTCTAAAACAGCGCAGACGTGTGCTGTTATCGTCACAGAAGTGATAATTGAGTATTGCTTTCACTGAAGAGGATGTTTTAATAAACCAACAATGACTCTTCTCGTACGGAGACGCAGCCTGCAGCCAGCACCGATGCCAGGAGTGTTAAAAACCAATTACAATTACAGCATTGTGGGAAAATGGCCCTGAACACTGGAGGGAACTTCACACCTCGGATATAAAGAGCAGCAAATCACAGGCCCAGAATCACGGGTCGCAAATTAGACGCCAATGCCCCAGATAGCTGCTATCATTTAATAAGCAGTAAACACGATATCTGTCAAATACACTGCAGAATGGCATAAACAAAAAGCGCTGTATGTCCTATTGTTGGTGGGACGTGATAAACAGCTTTGCTAATTAATCCTGCTGGCCCTGAAGGACCGAGCTCTTCACAGGAAGTGCTGCAGATAATCACATCCTGTTCGGACTCGCTCCTTCCTTCAGAAGACGGGCAACGCTGCGCTAATTGCTCGGACGGTGCGCTCCTAATGAGGCCGTGGTGCAGTATGGGTACAGTGGCGTTACGAGTAACGATAAACCCCAGAAGGCCACAGGAGAGTGGAGGAGATAAACGGTGCTCTCTGCGCTTATCACGCACAACGAACGTGCGATTCTGACGCACAGATACTCAAACGTTGTGTGTTCAATGCACACGAGAGCAACCGCGAGATAAACACTCTCCAGACATGCACTCCAAACTCTAGCAGTAACATTTAGCTAAGAGCTCAAAACAGCACGCCAGGCTTTCCCGTCCGCATCTGTAAGCAATCTCTTTCATCGTGCAGAAACATATTTCACGGCAGAAAGAGAACACTACTGCATTAGAGCTGAATAAATGATGATGAAATGAAAGGACTAATGACGAGGCCAATAGATCTGACGTAGCCTTGATTGTGAATCTCTGCTTTATACGACCAGGTATTTCTGCATGCTGAGCTAAGATACGAATACTTCAGCGTTTTCATTTTCCGAGCGCTTCGTTGCATCTTTTATTAAACAGATGATTGAATTAATGTATCATACTTCTCTGGGGAGTTTTGCTTGAGCGCTCATGGGTTAAACAGTGACAAAAGCCCTGAAGACCCCCGGGAGCTTCATCTTAGCCAATCGCTCTAATCACTCTTCTGCGCCATTAATACACAGCTAATTATTCTGCTTCTGACACGGCAACACTAGCGGCCGGCGACACACTGAATGCACATAATACCTACCCTAGTGAAAAATAAATATCTTTCAGTTCATCATTTCATACTAAGTACAGTTCAAATATATTAACATGTTTACTGACATATCGATTGAGGCTTACTGAAATAAAAATTTATTTGGAGTACTACTTGTGTGCACAATGCACATTGTTTAACATTAAGCCTAAAATGTGTTTTAATGTAACAATTGATGAGGATTGTATGATCTTTGAATAATATCAGTCTTAAATGCAGGATATTTAAAGTGCAGCTGCACTATACCTGCAATGTGCTTCAGTATATCTTTAGTTGGACTTCAGCACTACTTCTGCACAATTAAAGTGCATCAACACAAAACTAGTTCCAATTTAGCAGACTTTAAGTATACCAGTATCATTGCAGGGTGTTTTTTATTAAATACATAAATATGTAAATGTATTTGTAAAAGTATATTTATTTTTCACTAGGGTAGAACTGTGCAGTTATGGGAAATTAAATACATTTAATTGTATACACTGATTAGGTTGGAACAGCCCTTATCTTTTGATGTTGATGTTAAAACTCTGATGAAACCCAACAGTATTTTGGTGCAGATGCCGCTTGGCAGAAGATTCAACACGAGCAGATGTTAGACGAGCCTTGATCCTCAAAACCATGAACAAAACTACACGAGGTGAAAGAAAATATGACCCCAACGGCCTTGAAAACAGTCCAGGGCTGTGTGTGAACGCGTCTCCTGAAGCAGAAGCACATCAACACACTGGAAGAGCCTCTAAACACTCAAACACAGCCAGAGCCCTGCTGCACTTCTCTCCAGCTACCACACGCGCTGATTCATGAGCGAGAGCGTCTCAAGACAGTCAGAACATCAACAGTGTGTCTGCATTCAAACTGAGACCACTGCAAACCTGTCAGCCGAGCATGTGTAGGTTTGAGCTCGTATTCACTAAACACCTCTAATATTAAACACAGAGACCGCTGCACTTCACAGCCAATCAGCATCAGAGCTGAAGCTCATCTCGTCTCATCAGTGTGTGTGTGTGTGTGTGTGTGTGAGAGAGTGTGTGTGTGTCTGTGAGTGTCTGTGTGTGTGTGTGTGTGTGTGTGTGTGTGTGATCATTAGAGAAAGTGGGTTAGATGCTAATCATCTGATCAAAGGACAAACACAAGGTGAAGACGAGGTCCTGAAACCTGAGCATCACACACACGTCTGTCCAGAAATCTCTGGAATGTTTATTATCGCAGCGAAGCTCATCTGCTTTACCGCACACTTCTGCCATATGTGCATCAATCTGACACAGTCACCACTGACGAGCTGCTACTAATCACACTGCAGAAACTGAATTTCCTGCAAAGCTGCTTTGCAACGATTGTATCGTGAAAAGCGCTAAACACATAAACCAGAACTGAATCAGCTGCTGAGAGCTTCTGCTGAACTTCTGCAGGATCATCAGAATAAAGAGGAACCTGACGTTACAACCCTGCACCAGAAGCAGCAGCACAGAATAACACACACTTACTGTACAGTCACCTGCAGCGTGCTACAGAGACGCGACTCTTCCGATCGACCATGCGTCGGTGTATGCTAATCTAGTTTAATCGGTCGCCTGTGATTGATCTGCTCTGATCGGATGAGCCGCTGTCACTGACGCGGTGCTGATGATGAGGAGGAGGCTGCGGGATGAAGAAGCGCACGCGGGAGTAGCGTTAGCGGAGGAAGGAAAGTTGTCGTCTTACCGGATCACGGCGGTGTCTCCCTGCCTGATGGTGATGTTGTCGGTGGATCTCTGGCTGTCCACGCTGATCACCGGGAATCCTGTGGGAATAAAGCATAGCAGTCGGAAAAAACACGCCTGCAGCTGACGGAACGAGGTGCGTCCCACAAACATCTCCAGAGAAGCAGAGAAGAGATGAAGAGCGCGAGAGATCCGCGAGAGACAGAGAAGAAGAGGAGGCGCGCTGCTGCCGTGCGCACACACTCACACACACACACACACACACACACACACACACACACTCTCTCTCTCACACTCACACACTCACACACATACACACACACACACACACACCACACACAAATCTAACACTCACTCACACACTCACTCACACACACACACATCTGTAACACTCACTCACTCACACACATCTGTAACACACACACACACACATCTGTAACACTCACTCACTCACACACACTCACACACATCTGTAACACACACACACATCTGTAACACACACAAATCTAACACACACACACACACATCTGTAACACACACTCACTCACACACACACATCTGTAACACGCTCACACACACACTCACTCACACACACACACACACACACACATCTGTAACACTCACTCACTCACACACACTCACACACACCTGCAACACACACCCAACCAACT